AGAGAGAGAGAGAGAGAGAGAGAGAATTTTTAATATTTATTTATTTATTTTTTTACTTCTCGGCGGACACAACATCTTTGTTGGTATGTGGTGCTGCGCTTGAGCCACATCCCCAGCCCTAAAAAAATATTTTAAAAAGGTGGTGGGTAGGGCTGAGGTTGTGGCTCAGAGGCAGAGCATTTGCCTCGTATGTGTGAGGAACTGGGTTTGATCCTCAGCACTACATAAAAATATATAAACAAAATAAACGTAATTGTGACCATCTACAACTAGAAAAATATTTTTTTAAAAAAGGGTGGTGGGTAGACCAATCATCAGGATTTCCACGAACATAATATCTTTTTATTTTTTCTGAGTGGGGTGGTTATCAGGGATTGAACTCAGAGGCATTCGACTACTGAGCGCCTCATGCCCCCTTTTTTGAATTTTATTTGGAGACCGTCTCACTGAGTTGCTTAGTGCCTCGCTGTTGCTGAGGCTGGCTTTGAATTTACAGTCTTCCTGCCTCAGCCTCCCGACCCTGGAATTATAAGTATGCACACTGTGCCTCGCCCAAGACCATAATGCCTTGTATAAGAAAAGATTACATCTGCTGAGCTGGGGTTGTAGCTCAGTGGTGGAGCGCTTGCCTGGCACGTGTGAGGCATTGGGTTTGATCCTGAGCACCACATAAAAATAAAATATACAAAGGTATTGTGTTCATCTTCAACAGAAATGTTTTTTAAAAATTATAACTGCCAGGTGCAGTGTAATCCCAATGGCTCAGGAAGCTGAGGTAGGAGAATCGAAATTCCAACACCAGCCTCATCAATTTAGCAAGGCCCTAAGCAACTTTGTGAGACCCTGTCTCGAAATAGAAAATAAAAAGGGCTGGGGAGTTGGCTCAGAGTTAAGCGCCACTGGGTTCAATCTCTGGTACCAAAAATTTAAAAAAGGAGAAAGACTTATAATACACACACCAAATGCATAGAAACAAGTGTAGATAGAAACACATTAAAAAGTTAATAGGTTGGGCTGGGGATGTGGCTCAAGCGGTAGCGTGCTCGCCTGGCATGCGTGCAACCGGGTTCGATCCTCAGCACCACATACCAACAAAGATGTTGTGTCCGCCGAGAACTAAAAAATAAATATTAAAAATTCTCTCTCTCTCTCTCTCTCCTCTCTCACTCTCTCTTTTAAAAAAAAAGTTAATAGGTTATCTTTTGGTGAAATCAAGGGACATTTGCTTCTAATTTCCTATATTGTTTTGTTTTATTTTTTAAAACAATAAACACATATTTTCATGATTGGGGAAAAAGTCAAGTATTTCTAAGGTATAAAAAGAAAAGAATCCTCCAATGATTTTTTCGTTGTTGTTGTTTTGTGGGATTGATCCCAGGGGTGCTCTACCACTGAGATTTATCCTCAGTCCTTTTTATTTTGAGACAGTGTCTCGTGCCAAGTTGCCCATATTGGCCTTGAACTTGAAATCCTCCTGCTTCAGACTCCCCAGTGGCTGGGATTACAGGTGTGTACCACTGTGAATGATAGTTGTTTAACAGTTTCTTTTGGTGGTGTTGGAGATTGAAGCCAGAGACTCAAGCATGCTAGGCAAGTACTCGACTATTAAGCTATATCTCCAGCCCTCCTGGTTTTAATGTGACATCCTCAAGAGAAGCATTCCAATGTTTGGAGCTGCAATGGCTTCACCCTGGCATAAAAAAACCCACCCAAGAGCAGTATTCGAAAGAAGCTGATACTGAAATCTGTTTTCTAGCTCTTGGGCATCCTTTCACAGTCTTTAAAGGCCGGGCTAAGGCACTGCTGGCTTTCCTGTTCAAATTCCAGTCACACTTGGCTGAGGAGTCAGAATAACAGCTAATAATAGAAGCATCAATGTGGCAGTTACTATGCACAGGTCCAGGACCTAAGTACTTTTTTTTGGTCCTGGGAAATAAACCCAAGGGCATTTAACCACTAAGCTACATCCCTAGCTTTTTTTATTTTTTATTTTATTTTTGCTTCCCCAGTTGCTGGGATTACAGGCATGTGCCACCATGCATGGCTTCTAAATGCTTTATAAACATTATACTCATTTAATCTTCTCAGGAAGTATTGGCTCCATTTTACCAGTGATGATGACGAGGCACAGAAAAGGTTAATTAACCCTGCCTGAAGTCTTTTAAGTAGGGGAAGGCTAACCTTGAACTAGGGATCCTGGCCTTAGGACTATAGGGATGTGCTGGTGAAATCTGAGATCCTTTAGATAATAAGCAACTAAGTGCTTGTGAGTGTCACCAAACTTACCTAAAGCATTGATCCAAACTCAGGGGCAGGAGAGGAACAGTTGGGACTATCATCCCAGCAGCCCTCATATGGGGGTGACTATGCTGACCTACAACTTAAGGTGTACTCTGCATTTAATCTCACCTCGTAGAAGGCTTTATCAATCTTCACTTCACAAAGGAGGAAACTGAGGTTCAGATAGGTGATGTGACTTGCTCTAGGTCACAAAGAATATTAGTGACAGAGCTGGGCTGTCAATCCAGTTTGGCAGACGGCACTATTAACCTCCCTGGCCTCTAATGGGAGATAAGGTCACAGGGTATTGGTGCAAAAAGCAAAGGCTGATCCCCCACCTCGTCCACGAGACTTGGCTCCTGGCTTCACAATCCAGATGTTGCGGTCCCCTTCCATATCAATCTGAGGCATCACAGCCCGCAGCTGCTGCAGGAGATCCTCACAGCGCTGGACCTGTGCATCCAGATGCTTGAGTTCTGCCCCCTCACTGTGGAGAGATGGTGGGACTTGGGCAAGGCAAGGCCTGGGGGCAGGCAGGAGGGCAGGACAAGGGGAGACATATCCTCCTTCCCCCTAGGCCATGGTTCAACCACCTTGGTCATGCCTTCCCCCTAGAGATCCACATTGATCTCTCTCAATCCTCCATCTTCACCCTCAAGCCACCCCACGAGCCCTCTTGCCCAGACCATAGCAATAGGAATGACTGAGTAAATCCCATTTACTTCCCAGTTCACATTCCACTCCAATATTCCATTTTCTGCCCACTCCCTTCCTATTAAAACTGAATCATTCCAGCTCCAAATGATGGGGCACCACACCAAGGGCTTTCCATATATTATCTCTAATTCTCTAGCAGCCCTTTCAAGGAGGTATCACCTGTCCCATTTTAGAGGAAAGTAAACTAAAGCTTGGAAAATTAGGGTATTTGCCCAAGGCTACCCACTTGGTGGCTGAACCAGGATTCAAATGCCTGATTAGTTCATCTGCAGGTGCTTTTTTGGCATTCCTGTCCTCTTTATCTAGACCTAACAATGCTTGATAGGTGGGTTCCCTTCTAGATTAATTCACTGAAGCACATCTGTATCATAGCTCCCCTACCTTTCTCTTCCCATCACTCACCCCCACCTGATCCATTCATTTACTTGGTTATCATCTGGCTCCCCAAACTAGAACTTGTCTTTTTTTTTAATGGTGCTGGAAATCGATCCCAGGGCCTTGCATATTCTAGGCAAGCACTCTTAACTATACCACCAGTCCAGAAAAGGAAAGTTCAAATAGATTAATGATGTTGCCAAAGTCATAGAGCTTGGAAGTTGCAAAGCCAGGACTTGAACTTAGGTCTACCTGACAGCACAGGCCATCATCTTAGTGCCTACATTGTGCTAAGAGCCAGGAAGAGTGGTCTGGACTCTATCAAGGAGGCAGTGGGAATCCCTGAGGGTTCCTGAGCTGAAGAGTAGCAATAGGAACAAAAATGAGAGGCTTCAGGAGGAGGCGAGGGCTGTGTTAGATTGTGAGAGTCTGTTCCTAATTACCTGCCTCAGCCCATAGCCCTGGCTGCAGGAGTACTCACTGGACCACTTGATAGTAGCGCTGGAGGAAGAGGGTCCAGCCCGCAGGGCTGAGGTACAGTGGAGCCTCCAAGTCCTTGTCGATGTCCATGTGAGCCAGGTTGCTAAGGTGCTCCTCACACGCACACAAGGCCTCATCCACAAACTCTGGGGACACTGTCATGAGCTTTTTTTCCTGATTCTTGAGGTTCTTCTCTCCTGCAGAGATAGGGAAGAGTCTGTCTGTCACTAGAACACATCAAGGAAGGTAAAATGACACATGCTACAGTGCTTACCAACCCGAGGCTTGTCACTCACCTCAGGCCTCACCTGAAAGACACCTGAGGCCTCCCATGAACCCGGATCCCCAGCTGCCCTGGGACTTGTCACTTACCTGAGGTTTTGCTCGAAATTTACCTGCAACTCTAGCACTTCATCCCTGGCCCCCACTCCACCCTAAATGTCCCCAAAGTCCTATAGCACCTAAAGCCCCAGCACATAGCTGTAGCCTCTCTAACCCTGGGACCTCTGACACATCTGAGACCCTGCACCTGGAAACCTTGGCCTTTGAACCTAGATATACATGAAACCAAACCTGACATGGCCTCTTTATTTATTTTATTATTTTTTCACAGTGCTGGGAATTGAATGCATGCCAGGCAAACACTCTAACACTGAGCCACATCCCCAGCCCCCAATATGACTTCTTAAGTCTTGAAACACAACAGAAATCTACTCACTCCCAGAATCCTGACATAAATCAATCATCATCAACCCATAGAAACACTAACCTTACATGTGCAGTGCGAGGCCCTGACACACACCTGAAAATGAATCTCTAGAAACTGACATCTCAGAAGACTCAATGCACATCTACAGCCCTGACTCATTCCTGAACATCCTGAAATATAAGTGAGCCCTTAACCCCCTGCAGCCTGACCCACACCTGAGCCCATTGCCAGAGAAAGCTTAAATGCAGGGTCTCTGCCCAGTAGGGGACCCCTGTGCTACTGATCCTAGCACATAATAAGAGTCATCTTGTACCTGACACACTTATGTAAGAGACAGAATGGGGAAGAGACAGGGATTTTTTTCTCCTTCCCTTATAGTTGCCCTTTACTTCTCTGAATCCCTGGCTAAGGAGTCCTTGCATTTAAAGGATTAGTGGCTTGGAGGTAGGAGCTAAATCCATAAAGGGAAGGGGCAAGTAATGGGCTGTGTTCTTCTGTATGCCCTTTACTCCCAGATGTTCCTTATTTTTAAAAAATTTTTTTAATATTTATTTTTTAGGTGCAGATGGACACAACACAATGCCTTTATTTTATATATGGTGCTGAGGATTGAACCCAGGTCTTGCCCATGCTAGGCGGGCGCTCCACCGCTGAGCCACAATCCCAGTCCCAGATGTTCCTTATTTTTGGTCACATAGGGTGCTCAGGACTCCTGTAAACTGTAGGTTCACTTCTTCCTTCTCCTAGATCTATCTCCCTCAGACAAGGATGAGGATGCTCTCTGTAGGGTGCTCATTTACATGCCAGGCCCATGCACAGGCTGATCACCAAACAAACCAGAAGACATGTATGTGGGAAGTTGGGAAATAGAAGAATGGATGAGTGAGCAGACTAGAAGGTAGATAAACAGTAGTTAAGAAGATAGAATAATACATGGATAAATGGTTTTGTAGAAGGATGGGAAGGAAAGTGGGGAGTGGATAAATGGATAGGGAATGTGCTGATGGCAAGTGGGTGAATGAGGAGATCAACAGTGGGTTGGTAGGTGGGAGGATGGATACATGGATGGATGGATGGATGGATGGGTGAACACATGGATGAAAAGAAGGGTGGGAAGGGTGTTGGATGGTCATATGGATATGGATAATGGGAGCACGGTGGGTAAGGGAGTGAAGGTAACCACAGTACTTACTTGCGGCTTCTTCCTTTTCTGTAACAGAGTATGACTTCCATTCCGACTTCACCACCAGCTTGAGAACGTTGCGGGCAGCTGTCAGCCAGAAGTCCTCTGCTCCCGGGGCAGGGGATACCCTGCTCAGCCCCTAGGCTCAAGGCCTGTTCTGGTTCTGGAACCTGATCGTGACTTGCCCTATTTTGGATGTGGAACCTGACTCTACCTTTTCTGACTCTAGAACCTGTATAAGAACCTGGATCCTGTTTCAGTTGTATTCTCAGACCCAGAATGTGACAATGAGACTGGACTTGGCTTATACTCTGTCTTTAGAATCTGGAGTGGACCAGATTGTCTGTTAAGTCTTAGTTCTTTCTTCAGTTCCTCATCTACTTTTTTTTCCCCTTTTGTACCAGGGATTAAACCCAGGGGTGAGTAATCACTGAGCCACATCCTCATCCCTATTAATGTTTTTATTTTCAGACAGGGTCTTGCTAAGTTGCTTAGGGTCTCCCTAAGCTGCTGAGGCTGGCTTTAAACTCGTGATCCTCCTGCCTCAGCCTCCCAAACCACTGGGATTACAGGCATGTGCCACTGCGCCCGGCTCCTCATACAGTTTTAAAAAATATTTTTAGTTGTAAATGAACATAATAACTTTATTTTATTTATTTTTGTATGTGGTGCTGAGGCTCAAACCCAATGCCTCACATGTGCTAGGCAAGTGCTCTAGCCACAATCCTAGCCCCCCTTATATACTTTTGATACTTATTCTAGCCTAAGAACCCAAACCTTGACCCAAAACCTAGTTCAGATTTGGAACATAACTTAAGACCTAGCATCTGACCTGGATCCAAATTCTATTTAGAACATACTGTGGAGCTGGAAGCTATTCTGCCTTAGAAACTCACAACCTATAGTCTTTCATGGAACCCAATCCAGCCAATAGAACTTGACATAAGCCTGAAATCCATTCTGGATTCCGAATTCAACCAACCACTAACTTTTAGAACCTGCTCTAGAATACAAGCAAGCTACCTAAGTTTTCTGGAGGTCAGGGCTGGCCAAGCTAGGAGTATCATTAAGTGAGGGTATAGTAGGACTGGGGATAGGGAAGGAACTGGGGTAGATGAGGGCATAAGGAGAGGCCTGCTATTCCCTGGTGTGAGCCAGAGATTTAGTCCTGGTCCTTCAGCCTGGGTGGTCCAGGCTTGGGGCTGGGGGTTCTCCTTACCTATGAAGGCTTTTTTGTCATCTTCAGCACCCAGGCGGTAGCAACGTGGGAAGAAGGAGTCAGCGTCAGCCTCATCAAACCAGGGCAAGTTCCGGAGATTGAGACACAGACCCACCTATGGAGTTAGCTGCTGAGGGGGCAGGTAGGACTTGCCCAGGGAGCTCTAAGAGACTCCCTCACAGGCAGCACACATCCAGTCAGGAAGACCTTGCCCATATGCTCTCAGAGCCTCTATTCCACTCACTAGGCTTAACTTACTCACATCTATATCCATGTCTGCCTGGTGGTCCCCTTTGTCACAAATCCCATTCACCCTTCATTCATATCCTTAAAGACCTGCCTCGTCTAGGAATTCCTCTCCAAGTCTCTGCCAATGATAAAATGACAGACCATTTTATAAAGTTCTTCATCCTTCACCCTAGAAAACAGGCCTTACTGCTATTATCATTTAAAGATGAGGACACTGAGGCTCAGAGATGTAAAGCCACTTGCTATCAGAGATAAGACAGAATGAAGCCATTAGCCAGATGTACCCTTGCTCACAGTTTGGATTTGGTGTTTGTGTGGGCTTCAGATCCTATTTGAATCCTGCAGCCCAGTTATTTGTTTGTTTTTGGTACCAAGGATTGAACCCAGGAGCACTTAACCACTAAGCCACATCCCCAGCCTTTTTTGTTTTGAGATACAGTCTTGCTAAGTTGCTGAGGTTGGCTTTGAACTTTTGATCCTCCTGCTTCAGCCTCCCAAGCCGTTGGGATTATAGGTGTGCACCATCACATCCAGCTGGAGTCCAGTTTAGTCAAGATGTCTACACTACCAGATATCCCACAGGGGGTGAATTAGAGTCCAAGTCTTTCTGACTTCAGGTCTCACTGAATTATTTATCTCCTGCTTTCCTGAGAACTTTCTTTTACTGACAAGGGGAAAGACGGGGTTGGGACTACTAGTCTAAGGGTGGGGTTGGAAGCTGTCCTGCCTACTGCCCTGAGGAGCCCACCTTTGTAGTAAAGGAGCCAGCTCGAGCATAGTGGTTTATCATCTGATCCTTAGAGAGGAAGCGACAGTCCATCACATCTCGCCGGGTGGTCCAGATAAGGTAAGGTGTCTCATTCCGAACCATGCGGGACTGGGGAGGAGATAGAGACAGGGAGGCCAGTGTGGGCAGCTTCTCCCCAACCCTCCTGAGCACAAAGGACAGGATACTTCCAAACTATCCTGTGGTCCTCACAACGTTTCTGTGTAAGGCATGAAGGGCGTTTCTTCTCCAGGGCACATGCTTGGCCAGAAGAGAGCAGGCTTAGTCTGAGTGTTACAACAGAATGCTGGACCTTTCTCTGACCCATGGCCATCAGTCACTTGCCAGAAGCTGGACACAGCCTCCAAACTGATGTGCACACAGCATGTAACAGAGGTTCTTTTGTGGTCCCCACCTCTCCATCCTTTCTAAAAATCTGGGAGGTAGGATTATTAGTAACTAATAACACCATATGCTATGCTCTGTTTGAAATACTTTCTATGTTAATCCATTGACTCCTCATCCAACCCTATGAGGTAGAAGCTACCATTTCACAGATGAAGGAATTGAGGTACACGGAGGGTAAACGACCTACCCCAGGGTTCACAAAGCTGAACCACATGAAACTACCGATTTTCAACTTATCTTGACCTGCAGAAATGGCTATTTCATATAATTCAACTTAGTAAGAGTTAGTGCCAATCTAATGAATCCAAGTGTCCTTAACCTCCACACACGTCCTCCACACCATCTCACCAGCCTCTCTCAGAGTTGTGTAAGCCCTTCCTATGAGCCTTCAATTGCTAAGGGCAAAGGAAGCAGATGAACAAAGAGATTTTTTACCTGGAAGGGATAACTAGCATGCAGAGGATGTGACAGCCTTGTCAGAGCCCCACTGAGTCCTTCACTGCTCTGGGGGCCTATCCAGCCTTTAGAGAAACAATCATCTTTATACAGATGGGGAAACTGAGACCCAGAGAAGAAAAGGATTTGTCTGAGGTCACCCCATTGGGTGCCAGACCTCTCCTTCTGAATAGCCACCCTCCAGCCAATCCTGTGCTTCAGCTGGCCCCCAGGACACTCACCATCAAAGCATGTGTCCCATCTAGGTCATCAAATTCCAGAAGGCCATTTAAGTCAAACAGCTGTGTTTGTTGATAATGCTCTTCTTCATCTTCAATGTATGCAGAGCCCAGACCTGATGAGAGCCATGTCCCTGCCCCATAGGTACAAATCCTCAACCCTGGGATGGTGAGAACATAAGGAAGAAGACTGGGAGGGGTCTTGTGGAAAGAGAGGGAACTGTTCACCTTCCTCAGTGGTGTCACTATCACCTAGCATTGAGCTGTCCAGATCCTTCTGGGATGGCATTAGGGCGGTGCCCGGGGGATGGATCATCTTCTTCTCTACCCAGCCTCTCCGGCGTAAGAGATACCGGATCACTGGGTAGCGGCCTTGGATCATAAAGATCTTCTTCTGCTATAAGGTGAGAGATAGAGACTTGTTCAATAAGCATTGCCAAGGTGCCAAACACAGGGGATATAGTAGTGACCCAGTTACAGTCTCTGCCTCTAAGCTGGCCTCTGTAGGGAATTTTTATATTCCACTGGGAAAAATAGCTAAAAAACATGGAGGGAAATAAATATGCATAGTGTCCGGGGGTGGTGGTATATGATTGTTAATTCCAATGACTTGGGAATTTGGAGCAGAAGGATTGCAAGTTCAAGGCCAGTCCCTGCAATTTAGCAAGGCCCTAAGCAAGAACTGTCTTAAAAAAAAAAAAAAAAAGGCTTTATAGAGACGTGGTAATGTGCCCCTGGGTTCAATCCCCTAGTACCAAAATAAACAAATATGCATAGTAACAATGTTGGCAATAATAGCTGATATTTACTGAGTATGTGGTAAATGCTTCATGTATTACTTACAATGACATACATTTTTATTAGATGCTCACTGGTTATGAAATAAAGATGCAGAGAAATTAAGTAGCTTGGACATACCATGGTTAAGTGAAAGAGATTTCTTTTTGTGCTGGGAATTAAACCCAAAGCCTCACCCATGCTAAGCACAGTTCAATCACTGAGTTATACTCCCAACCCCAAGAGTATGGATTTAAATCCAGACAGTGTAAAATCTATATACTTAATGAGACCCAGAGAAACTACTTAGGAATACATGGTTAGAGAAGATCAAAAGAGTCATGAATATACAGAGCTGAGCAAATGGCAGTGTAGGGAGAGGGAAAAGCATGTGCAAGGGCTCAAAAGCAGAATGGAGACCAAAAGGAACTGAAAGGGTGAGTGCAGTTTGGAAAATGAAGGGAGAGCCCATGAGAAGGTAGGTAGTATGGACAAACCATGGACAGCCCTGCAGGCTTGAGCCCTTGGATGTGGGTTTTTATATGAGTAGCACAAAGCAATAAAGGTTAGGTGAGGAAGTGCTTAGTTGGAAGCTTTGTTAAATTTGGCTTGCTACTGTATGGAAAAAAGATGGGAACAAGTATGGAAACAGACCGTTTGGAAGGCTGTTGTGCTTACAGTGAAGATGGGGCAAAAGTGTGGGGATGGTATTCATTTTGGAATCAGAGATGAATGATTTTGCTGATGGGATTAGATGTGGTAGTGAAAAAAAACGGAAATATTGGATTTGAGGTTGAACAACTGAGATGAGAAAGTCCAGACTAGAAGGAATGACAAGTTTGGGTAGGATATCAGAGCATGAGATTGAAATGTTGATAAACTCTGGGTAGAGATGTCAACTAGGGGGCTGGAGAGGGTATGCAATAGGTGCAGCACATTGGACTCACAACCAGAGAGAAGCATGCATGCAGCATGCATGGGTAGGGATCTATGGAGCCACTAATATCTAAGAAGCTGCCCAAAGCAACTGAAAAGCAGCAGCCAGAAAGAGAGAAAAGAAAAGTAGGAGTGTGCAGTCAGATAGCTAAGGAGGATGGGTGTGTGGGGCATCAGTGCACACCCACAGGCAACTCAATCAAGATGGCAGGACTGAAGAGGTGCTGCTGGATTTGGCTCCTTGGAGGTCACGAAGGGCCTTAATGAGAGTAGTTATTAAGAGGAATGGGATGGGAAAGGCAGAAAATCAGAGGGAAGGGAACTGAGGAGTGAATTCCAGGTAAAGAAGTGGAACAATGCCCAGACAATTCTGTCAAGAAGTTTGGCCCTGAATGAGAAGTGAAAATGGGGAGGTATTGGAAGATGAGTGTAGAATTAAGGAGGTTTTTTTTTTTTTTTTTTTTTTTTTTGTTGTTTTTGAAGGACATGACAAAAATACCACAAGGAGGCAGGACAAACTACTCCAGGGTCCTTTCTAAACTCCTCCCCACCAACCCATTCCGACCTTGACAGCTCTCTCCACGTGGATTTTGGCGTTTCTGAGCCGGCCCATGTGGTGAGGTGTCTTGGAGAATCCTCGCCAGAGGACAAGGGATCCTGCAGAAAGAGGCGTTATAGGGGTGGGGATAGGTTGGGGCTTAGCCCGGGGTCTTTTTGGCACCCTCTTCCCTCCCTCCACCCTTCATCAGGACGCCCACCCACTGCCACTCTTCTTCCGACACCATTTCGTTCCGTCCCCATGCTTCTTCTTGCAGCTGCCACCGGTCAGGGCAGGCAACGCTCTGGGCCTCACCGTCTTGCGTGGGGGGATCATCCAGGACCTGGGCAGGCCGGGGGCTGAATAGGTGGGGATCCGCACCGCCCTGGGCGCGAGTGCCGCAGGCAGAAGTCTCGGAGGAGCGGCCTAGGCAGGGCATGAAGCCAGCACTGCTGGCTAGGCGCTGACGGCCAGCGCCACTCGCCTCGGGCTGGGTGGAGGCGGGCCCCGGCCATGGCAGCCTCCCAGGCAGCCGGTATTGTGGGTAGGGAACCCAGGGCCAAGAGGCGGGGGAACTGGTGTGTGGATCTGGTGGCTGCGGCTTCTGCCGCCAACTGCACGCTGGGCCTTGATCCTGGCTGAACCAGGTGGCCGAGCCCTGGCTCACGGGGCCCAGTTCCCTGGTGCTCAGAAGTGCCCCGCCAGGGCCCTGCATGCGCCCCTCGCTGCGCGCGCCCTTCCAGCGCTGGAGCCCGCCTCCCTCCCCGCGCTGCCTCTCAGAGACCCACTCAGGCCCCGCCCTCTGTTTGCTGTCACCATAGAAACCATTCCCCCGGGCACAATCAGACCCGAGGGTTCCGGAGCCACCCCGGGTCAGAGAAGCTGGGGTTTTCCACTGTGAGCCAGGCTCTGGGCCTCATTTATCCCCAACCCTTTGATGGGCAAGGCACTGAGGGTAGAACAGAACGTTGGGCTGGAATCTTGGTTCCTTATCCAGCGGTTCCTGCGTGGAATGCCCCCCACCATATTTATAGAGGGCCACCCACGTGCTAAGTACTGGGCTGGGGATTGACAAGTGAACCCCGACCCCAAGAGGCTTATAGCCCAGTGTGGGTAACAGCAAGTAACAAAATAGCTACAGGTATGAGGGCAGTGAATAAGCAATGAGCTGAAACCAGGAAAGAAGTACACATTAGGGCAAAGATGTCCTCCCTGAAGAGGTAACATTTTAGCATTCTAGGCAGGGGAAACAGTTTTGGCAACCTCGAAAGGGAAGACCCTTTCTGGGGAAATACAAGGCAGCCAGAGTGGCTGGAGCCTAGTGAGCCCAGTTCAGATCTGAGAGCCTAGCAGACAGATGCGGCTAGTAAGTTTGGTGGTGGTGGGGACCAGATATGAAAATCAAAGTCGAGGCTGTATTTACAGGGAGCAATCATGGGTGCAGAACACATACCTCCTCTCCTGGTAACTCAAACAGAAAAACTGATCATCATTCAAATCAAATGCAAAATAAACTCAAAAGGTCATGATTGTAAATGACCATTTAGAGAAAGTGGTAAAGTATTATCCTCAAAAGTCATAGGGGCAATATGGCTCCAGTGTTCACAGGCAACACTGGAACCCAGGTCTGATGCACACTTATATATATCTTCCTGTGATTATCACTCAATGGGGTTTCACCTGTTGATCACAAAGGACCAAATCAGCAGTTTGACAGGCTAATTTGAGCAGTGCCTATGCAAGTGCAGTCCAGGAGAATCCTGGCTGGAACCCAGTCACTGGGCAGTTCCGTTCTTACAGTGAAGGTAGGTCCCTTAACTACCTACCTGTCCAACTGACACCAAAGATTACATTTCCCAAACCCCCTTAGCTGGGGTATCCCAAAAGACCTGAGAACCAGCTGACTAAAACCACACAGTCTGTTCTCATTAGCCTGCAAATCTGGTTTTAAGGAACTTTGGATCCTGGGAGAGAAATTTGCCACAAATCAGGGTTCTTGCTGGCTCACCTGGTAAATGCCATCCTGTGAGAGGGGAGTAAGAAACTGCCACACACTCGTGGTCACGCACTTTGCTGCGAGTACCTTTCACATTCATTGCAATGATACAACATAGCCATGTGCCTCTGAGGAGAGCCTAGCTAATTTAGCAAGGCAGGAGGTCACAGAGGTAATGTCATAAAGGGGATTATACCTATTCAAGTTGTTCCCACCACTAGCCCCTCCTTCCTTTATTATTTCTTTATTCCTCCCTTCAAGAGACCCCTTTGGCCATCTGTAAGAAAATCTTTTTGTGAAGTTCAGCTCAAAGGCCAACCATTATAGAAGCTTTATACCCTCCTATACATATGGCCCCCTCCCAGTCCCCAGAGTTCCAACAATACATATGAAACATTTCAATATATTTATTTACATGCCTAGCTTTTACTGGACTCCCAAGTCTTCTCAAAGCAGGGATATCCCCAAGCCTAGCATGTTGGAATTTATCAGACAACTCAGATACTGAACAAACAACTAGTGGTTCATTCAGTGCCTGTGTGGCAGAGATTGTGTCAGTTCACTTTCATAGTCTCCATGTCAGAGATCAAGAAACTGACCCAGGCATGGTGGCACATGCCTGTAATCTCAGCTACCTGGGAGGCTGAAGCAGGAGGATTGGAAGGTCTAGACCAACCTGGGCAATTTAGTAAGATCCTGTCCGAAAAAAAAGGAAGAGTTGGAAATGTAGTTCAGTGGTAAAAATACTCCTGAGTTCAATCCCCAGTTTAAAAAAGAAACCGAGGCATAGAATATACACAGCTTATCCAAATCTAGCAACAAGAGTCAGAACTCAAACATAAATCAGTTTTGTTTACTTCAAGTTATCACTAAAAAAGGTCTAGCATTATCCAATATAACTTTTTTTGACAATGGAAATATATGTGCTGATATGGTAGTTACTAGTCACTGTAGCTACTGAATACTTAACATGACATCAGTGAAACTGAGGAATCAGATTATAAACTTCACTTAACTATAGTAATTTAAATAGATAAAGGTGAAGCCAGGCACATTGGTGCATGCCCGTAATACCAGAGACTCAGGAGGATGAGGCAGATGGATCACAAATATGAGACCAACCTCAGCAACTGAGCAAGGCCCTGAGCAACTTAAAAAAACCCTGTCTCAAAATAAATCATGAAAAGGGGTAAGGATATGGCTCAGTACTTAAGCACCCCTGGGTCCAACCCCTGGTACCAAAAGAAATAACTACTGCTTTAGCCCAGGCAGAAGTCTAAACTTCTTGCTCATGGTCTGGAGACTTGCAGCAATCTATTTTATCTCACTGAACCTCAGTTTTCTTACCCAAAAATAGAACAGATGTTTCTCTGAGGTTATCTTTTAGCCCACATGAGATCATGTGAAAAGCACCAACACTGAATAGACAGAACATTTTCAGAAACACATGGTACTTGGACTGCAATGGTCACTGGGTTGGAGTCTTTGGCAGGGATAATGGTAGGATCAATCTATAAGACTGATGGGGAGCTCCAGGCCCAAGCACCAGCTGCTTGGTCTCAGGAAATAAAAATAGCACCACCTCCCTTCCCTTCACATATACACACAGAGTTCAGACCTCATGCAGCCCCAAAAGGGCAAGAAGAGACTTTAATCAGGGGTGGGAGGATCCACTAGAATCAGAAAAGAAACCGAGCGTGTGGGAGCAGAGGAGCCAGAGCAGGCGGAGAGGGCCCAGGGGGAGCTCTGGAGGAGGACTTACCTCTCCACACCTCTAGCACAGGCACTGCACTGAGACAAAGCATGACCATGGCCCCTCTTAGCTGGAAGGGCACCAAGCGGCCCCATGAAGCCAGAAGTTGCCTGGCTTTTGGGCTCCAGCTCCTAGGTATGGCTGGTACTCATGGATTCAGCCCTTGTCCCCATTGAATGCTGGGAGGCCATCTTCAGGCAGAGCTCAGGAAGCTCATAGAGGGTTCCCACCACTTCTACTGGGCCCAAGGAGGCTTGGGATTAAGACAGCAATGGAGAGAAACTGGAGTCTAAAACCTCCCTCTCTCCCCACCTGGGGTAGCACAGGGGAGAAAAAGTAGTCGCCTTCTGGCTCCAGGCCCGCCCAGACCCACAGCGACCAATAAGGTACAATCACTGGGACCAGTCACAGCCACTGGAGGTGGAGGTTGTTTGTTTAAAAAAAAAAAAAGACAAAAAGGTTACAGTCTCCTACAAGCACAAAGTTTAAGTTTCAAGACGTTAAAAAAAATCTGTCCCAGCCCAGGGGACTGAACATCAGAAGCCAGCCTGACCAGGCACGTGTGGCCTTGGGGCAGGTCCACTGCTGCTTTCTTGCCCAGCTAGCAAGCACACCACCCCCCCCTCCCGCACCTAGTGCCCACCCGACCCAGCTCCCCGCTTCTGCTGCCGCTGCTGCCGTTGCCGCTCTGGGGAGTGACTCCAGGATGCTTTCGCAGAGACACAGGGAGAGGCTGAGGGGGTAGGCCGCGAGATCCAGCCAGATGGTTTAAAACTGTCAAGAGAACCAAGAGGCAGTGAATGGTGGTTATTATTGTATCCGGGTGGGCCTGCTCCAGGATGGTGGGTTGATCTGAGAGCTGCCACTGTACACAGAGTTCTGAAGGGTGGGGCTGGGTCCCAGAACATCCTTTGAACACACTCTTAACTCAGCCAATCTTCAGCAGAGACCTGTGGGGGGACTGACCCTAAATCTAGCACTAGATAAGTATCGAGGGCTTCTCCACAGTTCCCCTAGACTGTTGCTATGGATGCTGCCATAAAGCTCTGTCAGTGTCTTACATATAAACTGAAGGTGCCTTCTTTAGACATGGGGACTCAGAGCTAGGTGCAGGGTGCACTCCAGTAATCACAGCAACTCAGGAGTCTGAGGAAGAAGAATCACAAGTTCAGGACCAGCCTCAGCAACTTAGAGGCCCTAAGCAACTTAACAAGACTCTGTCTCAAAACAGAAAATAAAAAGGGCTGGGGTGTAGCTCAAGTGGTCAAAAACTCCTGGGTTCAATGCCTAATACCAAAGATAAAATAAAAAAACAAAAAGACATGGGAACTCTGCAGGCCAAGGTGAGAGGGATACGGCTTTGGGCGATCCTCCAACCAGCACAGGCCTTAGAAAATTTTCTGCCCTCAAGTATCCCCCATGGTGCCAAGAACAATACTTAATAAGCCAGAGGCTGTGAATCAATGGCTGATGACCGAGCATAGCCCAAAGATTAGCCCACGTGGTGCTTAAAAGACTATGAATTAGCTGCCAACCTTGATAACATGGAAGATGTCATATATAAATCTAGATTTGGAATTCTTTCGGAAAGTACAACAGGCTGGAGCTACATGGTGGCAATGTTCCTCAAATGAGGACCAGGTCGCCACTCAGCCCACCTCGATCACATGTGCTGCTGCCTGACCTGTGTATGTACCTGAATTTGTAACCCCACCAGGTACTGAGGTACTGTCTTAGATCTTTACATCAGAAAACCCAATTCCACATCTAGTTCCTCCACTTCCTGGCTCTGGAACCTTTAGCAGGTGATTAAATAACTTCCAGACCTCAGTTTATTCATCTATAATTATGGTAACACCTGCTGGGCGCAGTGGCATACATTACTGTAATCCTAACAACTTGGGAGGTTGAGGCAGGAGGAGCACAAGTTCAAGGTCAGCCTCAGCAATTTAGTGAGGCCCTCAGCAACTTAGTGAACACCTGTCTCAAAATAATAAAAAGGGCTAGGGATATTACTCAATGGGAAAGCACCACTAAGTTCAATCCCCAGTACCTCCACATCGCAAAAATCACACAGTAACACTTAACTCAAAAGATTGGGTTTTCTGAAATTGAACCCAGGGATACTTGGCCACTGAGACACAACCCTATCTCTATTTTATATTTTATTTAGAGTCAGGGTCTCACTGAGTTGCTTAACGCCTTGCCACTGCTGAGGCTGGCTTTGAACTCGCAATCCTCCTGTCTCATCCTCCCAACCCACTGGGATTATAGGCATGCGCCACTGTGGCTAGCAGAATTTTGTGTTTTTTAAATAGGAGAAAAAACACACTACATTTTTCACATGTCAAACGCATGGGAGTATTAGACTCCTGTTTTGAATATTAAGTAGGAATTGTGAACATGCTAGTTGAATCTAGAGGCCTCCTAGTGCCCTGGGCATAAACTTTCATACCACCATACACAGAAAGCTTACTAGGTATCGGGTGTTACATTTGACATACGTGATCTCATTAAAAGTTCAACACTCTGAAAGGTAAATATTAATAGCATCCTCATTTCACAGCTGAGGAAACTCAGGCTTAGTTGAGAGGCTCAGTGAGATAGCTGAGTAGGCAAAGGAAACAGACTGACACCCAGGAGGTCTGACTGGTAGGCAGCTGGACTACTCCCTTGCACACATGGTACAGTGACTTTGTGCACTGGGCCACCCTCAGTATGATTAAATCCCAGGGGAAGTATGTTAAATTTCCATTTTTAGAAATCTGAGCTCCTTCTGGGTGATCTGTATGAACTGGGAGGAGTAAACACTAAACCTACCATCTGGGGATCACAGTCAACTTTGAGTGGAACATATCAACAAACCAAAGACTGTTTGGAAGAAAGGGGAAAAAATGCCTAAGAAGGCTTGTCCTGAATATCTAAACAAGAACAACTATGTCATCAGTTTCTAAATGTAAACACTACCTCCTCTTCAGAACTGCAGTCCTTTCTGTTAGAAAGGCACAAACAATTTCAGAGGGATCCAGAGGCCTTAAGCCATCAAAGTGATGGGAAACAGGCTGAGGAAATCAGGACCTGAAGCCTCAGAAACGGACACTAAAGAAAGATATTTAATTCTGTTTGAGAAATGGAATTACAAGACGATTAACTGTTATGTTTCTGGAAACTTGGCACATGCACT